CCCACCCACCCCCTAGCCCAGAGAAAACGGCGGCGGCAGGGCGGAGGAAGAGAGGGAGGGTCGCCTGTGCTGCTGGCGGGGCGCCTCCTGAGGAGGGCTGGGGAGGGGGCGGCGGCAGGGGAGCCCCAGACGAGCCAGCTCCGGGTGGAGGCGATGCCTGCCCTTCGCCGCTGGACCCGCGCCAGGGGCGGCCGCTCTCCCTCCTTGGCGGTGGAGCTTGATCCTGCGTTGCAATGTCCCCCCCCCCGCCCGACCCGGAGTTTTAAGTTAGGCGGCCATGTGCGTTCCGAAAGTTAGCAAGCAGCCCGCAGAGATTTCTTTCCACCAACGCCCCGTCGCCGTTCCCTCCATTCCTGCCCGTTCCTGATGCTGTCGAGGAAAAAAAAACTAACACAACAAAAACTGCCAACCCCCACTAGGGGAAAGATATTCAGAAGTATCATGGCCGGGATGGGAGGGCGACCGCCCGGAAAGGCAAATCCCCCCCCCAACTCCCGGAGATGGAAAATTTCCATTCTCCCCCCCCAAAAAAAAACCCCCAAAAAAACAGGAGGAGGAAGGTGTGTTTTTTTCCAGAACAGAATTTAAATTTCCATGTCTCAGTTGATCCAGTCTAGACAACTTTACATTTTTGTTGTTGTTTAGTCGTTAAGTCTTGTCCGACTCTTCGTGACCCCATGGACCAGAGCACACCAGGCCCTCCTGTCTTCCACTGTCTCCCAGAGTTGTGTCAAATTCATGTTGGTAGCTTCAATGACACTGTCCAACCATCTTGTCCTCTGTTGTCCCTTTCTCTTCTTGCCTTCACACTTTCCCAACATCAGGGTCTTTTCCAGGGAGTCTTCTCTTCTCATGAGATGGCCAAAGTACTGGAGCCTCAGCTTCAGGATCTGTCCTTCCAGTGAGCACTCAGGGTTGATTTCCTTCAAAATTGATAGGTTTGTTCTCCTTGCAGTCCAGGGGACCCTCAAGAGCCTCCTCCAGCACCACAATCCAAAGACATCAATTCTTCGGCGGTCAGCTTTCTTTATGGTCCAGCTGTCACTTCCATACTTCGCTACTGGAAAAACCATAGCTTTGACTATGCAGACTTTTGTCAGCAAGGTGATGTCTCTGCTTTTTAAGATGCTGTCTAGGTTTGTCATTTCTTTCCTTCCAAGAAGCAGGTGTCTTTTAATTTCGTGGCTGCTGTCACCATCTGCAGTGACCATGGAGCCCAAGAAGGTAAAATCTGTCACTGCCTCCATATCTTCCCCTTCGATTTGACAGGAGGTGAGGGGACCAGTAGCCATGATCTTGGGTTTTTTGATGTTGAGCTTCAGACCGTTTTTTGCACTCTCCTCTTTCACCCTTATTATGAGGTTCTTTAATTCCTCCTCACTTTTTGACATCAGAGTGGTATCATCTGCATATCTGAGGTTGTTGATATTTCTTCTGGCAATCTTAATTCCACTTTGGGATTCATCCAGTCCAGCCTTTCGTATGACGTATTCTGCATATAAGTTAAACAAGCAGGGAGACAATATATTCCTTTCCCAATTTTGAACCAGTCAGTTGTTCCATATCCAGTTCTAACTGTTGCTTCCTGTCCCACATACAGTATTGGATTAATTATGTTTAAATATTGTTAACCTATTGTTTTTCATTGTCCTTCTTCACACTACTGTGCCATGTGAGGCTGAAGGCATCATCAACATCTGAAGGTCACTCTCCTGCATAGGGGAGTTCCACAGGTTTCCTCTTTAGCTATGACTCCAGAAACTTGCATTTGCCTAAGCTGACAGTTCCTTTATTTGCCTCATTGCATTAATTAAAGCTTCCATTTTAACATTTCTCAGGTCTGTCTCTCTTAGCCAGCTAGATGAATTACTCTGTTCTTTCTAATCTGCTTACTAGTTACAAACACTTTTATCTCTGATAAATCTTATCTGGTGCTGTCTGACTTGACTGCCATTATTGGTTGGTGGGGCTAGATAAAGACTAATCAAGCATTCACTGTCCTCCTATACTGTGCAATGTGTTCATGGCAAGACGAATCTCTTGGGATGTTTGGAAACATCTACCTTTGTAGGACTATCACAACCCCATGGAGATTGCTCCAGCCACTGTGCCCTTGTTGAATCACAACAAATCATATTGAGGAGGGTGATCTGTGTGTTTCTCATTGATTTATACAGGACTTCCAGTAAAATCAAAACAACTGCTGCTTAACTTTTCAGAAAACTCACACACCATGGCAATTTAACCCCAACAGTAGATGTACATACTGTCCTCTGGGATAGTGTAGATGTAGGGAGAGGGTTGTCTAAAGACCAATGGAAATGGGAATACAGTGGTGCCTCGCATAACGTTTGCTTCGTATAACGCTTTTCCCTATGGGCGATTTTCACATAGCGATTTTGGGACCATGCTTCGCTTAACGTTTTTGGTTTTAGGTCCCCTGCTTCACTTAACAATGTTCATTTTTTCAATTACAAAAGTGTCTTAACATGTTGAAAAACGGTTTTAAATGCTTGGAATCGTTAGTGCACCTTCTAAAATGTGTGCATACTTAATTTGGCGTTGATCTGACTTTTCGTTAATTTTTTGTGAATTTTTTCTCCCCCATAGGAAACAATGGAGCTGTCAGATTTTGACAGCTGTCAAAAGTTGGGGGGGGGAGGGAATTCACCATAAATTAACGAAAAGTCAGATCAAAGCCAAATTAACTTTTGTATCCATTTTAGAGGGTGCAGAAGCTAATCCAAGCATTTAAAACCATTTTTGACCCTTTTATGACACACTTAAATTTGCAAAAATTGACTTCGCAAAGCCATTGAAATGGGTTGAGTCGGCTTCAATACATTCTAATGGAGGAAACATTGTATCGTTTAACGATGTTTCCTATGGGTTTTTTCGCTTAAGGACAGCAATCCGTGCCTATTGGAACGGATTAACCGGTTTCCAATGCATTCCTATGGGAAATGGTGTTTCGCATAAAGTTTTTTTCGCATAAGGTTTTTTTTTGGAACCAATTAAAAACGTTATGCGAGGCACCACTGTATAATCTTCCCATCCATCAAGGTCCATGTCTGGATGCTGGGGGGACTTAATTTTTTGAAACAAGTGCAAAAATTAATGTAATATAGTATGCCATTTGGCCCTAACATTTGGTTGACCTAGAGCGTGGAAGTCAGGAGGGCCTGGCGTGCTCTGGTCCATGGGGTGACAAAGAGTCGGACACAACTAAATGACTAAACAACAACAACAGAGCAGGAATAGCACTTCTTGACATTTCCTGAGATGGATAAGTCAGGCATGCAAGGAAGGACATGCAAGGTCCTTAGGGCAAGATCTTCACTAGGTTCCACAGATTGTCAGTGATTATTCACTACCATCCAATTGGTTGATTATCAATTTGTCCCTTCTAAAAACAAAGTGTGCTGCCTATATACCAATCTGTAGTACTTAAAGCACTTTCAGAGCAGTTTACAATGTAATTATGCAGGCTACACATTGCCCCTTGCACAAGCTGGGTAATCAATTTATTGATCTCGGAAGGATGAAAGACTGAGTCAACCTTGTGTCAGCTACCTAAACTCATTGGGATTGAACTCAGGTTGTGAGCAGAGTCTTGCCTGCAGTACAGCAGTTTAACCACTGTGCCCATGAGGCTCCTCTTTACAGGCTGGCTCTTGGTTTTTTGTTGTTTCCCACATGGGAAATCCTGCCTAGTACAATATTAATAAAAAGCTTGACCAGTTCTCACTCTCAGTTCATTTTAGCTGAAACCATGAAAAAAAACCCAAGCTGTACTTCTGGAAAGTGTTCAGAAACTCCAGTGGGTCCAAAATGCTGCAGGTCAGATTGCTAACTGGAGCTGGTTATAGGAAACATATAACTCACCTGTTACAGCAATTGCACTGGCTGCCAATCAGTTTCTGGGCACATTTCAAAGTGCTGGTTTTAGCCCATAGAGCCCTAAAGGGCTTCGTTCCAAGCTATCTCAAAGACCATGTCTCCCATTATAAGCCAGCTCGTGTGTTAAGATCATCAGGAGAAGACTTTCGCTCAGTCCCACCACCTTCACAGGTGAGTTTGGTGGGGACACAGGAGAGGGCCTTCCCTGTGGCTACTGCCAGACTTTGGAACTCCCTCCCACAAGAGGCTAGGCTGTCCCCTTCTTTGCTGTCCTTCTGCAAGCAGGTGAAGACTTCAGGCAAGTGTTCCCTGAGAGACTAGCAGTCTGAGAGGGTTTTTTTAAATAATAGTTGTTGTGCTCTGTTGGTTTTAAATGTGTTTTAAGTATTAATCTTATTTACTGATTTTAACAAAATATTTCTTTAATATTTGTATACTTACTGTTTTTATCTTTTAAACATTGTCTTTTTAATAACGTAAACTGCCTTGGTTCCTTTTAAGGAGAAAGGCAAGGTAAAAATATGTTAAATAAATGAATGAATGAATAAATGAATAAATAAACAAATCAATAAACATGTCTTTCAACCACACCCTGTAATAACTGAGACAGTGCTCAGACAATACAAGCTGTGGCTCCCATCCAGGCCTGCACTTAGATCACAGGTTTTGG